TATCTGCCAGATTGGAATAGATTATTCCTTTTCTAGATTATTTATTAAAATATTCAGTCGCATGTGAAGGGCTGTCCTACACAAGCATCAAAACTGGCAATGAATAGGTGCAGATAATCATGGATATTTTTCATGGCATGGTCTTACTTGTCTTTTGTATCCGTTGGATATGGAAATCGTACTCTGCCCCTTTCTGACATTTTTATGTTATGATCTCTTGGTTGGTGTTAAATGGTTGTTGGTATTACTTCTCATGCTAAATTTTTGTTGGTATTACTTTTTTATTCTGGTAAACAACTCATTTCAAATCCTTATCTTGGGTTATAAAATGGAGAAATTTGGTTTTTATGGCTTCAAATAATCTTCTTTTCCAGAGTTGTGTGCAAGTGTGGTTTTTGTGGGACAGAGAAGCAAGCACTTAGTGAATGGGAACGACACACAGGTTCCAAATCGAGAAATTGGAGAACAAGTGTTAGGGTGAAAGGCTCTATGCTCCCACTGGAACAATGGGTTTGTATATGAATATTTTGTTTTATTTGATACATAGTCTTCTGCATTTCTGAATCTTGAAACTCCACTACTTAATATGTTACTCTAATATAAAATAGTTATTATAGCATCTGATCATCTCTTTGACTCATTTAGTATCTTTTGTCTAAGATATTTGGACATTTGATGCATACATGAGTACCGTACTAAATCATTCAAAAAGATTTCTGATTTCTGGTTTAGGTCTTACAGTTATTATCACCTTTTTTAATCAATATCAATATTTTATTACAATTTTGAATTCTATTCTTAAAATGCTAATGATACTGACCTGTTAAGAAACACCAGTGATAGTTGTGGTCTTTTATCTCTCTCTCTCTCTCTCTCTCTCTCTAAATAATGATATTCGTCATATAGGTTTAAGTGGATTGGGATATGGGTACCTTTAACTAATGTAAATTAATTTAATCACTCAGATGTTGCAGCTGGCAGAATTTCATGCAAATGCTCAAGTTTCTGTCAAACCTAAAAAACCTTCTTTAAAAGAAAGGAAGCAGAAGTTGCTTGCGTTTTTGCAAGGTACTATTTTTCCCCTTTCGTTTATATTGGTCATATGAAAAGGTGGTAATATATATATATATATATATATATATATATATCAGAGTGATGATGGTGCTGCCAATTATTTTCTTAAACAGAGAAGTATGAACCAGTTTATGCTAAGTGGACAACAGAGCGGTGTGCTGTGTGCAGATGGGTAGAAGATTGGGACTATAATAAAATTATTATTTGCAACAGGTAATAATATCACTTGTTGTCTGATGAGTTATTTCTTACTATATGTATCCTCAAGGCTCAAGGATGTGGGACTAAAACAAGTTTTTGCATGCATCTAAGGGATTGTAGCCTATAATCAGCAACAGATTATAATTATTTGTGTATTTTAACATATGTTACATTTGATGCATTGCTTTTGATGTCTAGACGTGCCTCATCTTATGCTTTCAGTCGCATTCCATGTGCACCTCATAGTCTGCTTTTCTGCCTCATCATTTTAAGAGGGTTCTCATGGTCATTTATCAATTGTGTCTTCACAAATGAGACAAAATGCATACAAAACCAGATACCTCTATTTCTTCTTGAAGAATGAACTGTGAATCAAGAAATTCATAATTGATGTATTCTTTTACTGTATTTGGGTGGGGCACATTGTAATCTATTTAAATATGTGTTGATATGTTTTATATGTTTTTAGGTGTCAAATAGCTGTTCATCAAGAGTGCTATGGAGCAAGAAATGTTCGAGACTTTACATCATGGGTTTGTAAAGCTTGTGAAACACCTCACATTAAACGAGAGTGTTGTCTTTGTCCTGTAAAGGGTAAGCCTTCTTGGACATTTGAAATGTATAAGTTCAGTAATGTTTATGTTCCATCGCTTTTTGAATTTTCTTTTCTGAAATAATTCCAGGTCTTATTTTCCTTGCTGAGAATATTTTTCCTTCTTTTGACTATTACTGTGATGCTTTAATTTTTTTTTCCCCACCAAGAAGCTTCGGTAAATTTTGTTTTCATCCAAAGAAGAAAGTTCTTTGTGCATATGACCTCATGCTACTATATTTTCCCCCAGGTGGTGCCCTAAAGCCAACCGATGTGGACACACTATGGGTTCATGTCACTTGTGCTTGGTTTCGACCTGAAGTATCTTTTGCTAGTGATGAAAAGATGGAGCCTGCTTTGGGTATTCTGAGTATTCCATCTAATTCTTTTGTGAAGGTGGAGTGTCTAATCTGTTTAGCCCCTTTTGGGATTCTCCCAAGAATTGATACCAGTTTATGATGTATTTCAACATTGAGATCAAATTAAAGAAAAGCTGTCTATATAAGTAGATTTTGTGGCTATGGACATCTGCTGTAATTATAGTATGATTCTATAATATGTCGGATAAAGCTTTTCCCTGCAAATTAATGTTAGTTACAATTCAAAGTTACTTCTTTCTTTGAGCTTTTCATGTTTATGTATACCGCATACCACACAATTATGCTGAAGAGTGCATAATTTATTTATTTAACTTCAGGGAGTAGGAAATCATCTACATTTTACAATTATAACTGTGATTATCATTTAGTCTCTTGGTCAATCTAAAGGCTTCCTTATTTACTTAAATTTCAGATTTGTGTTATATGTAAGCAAATTCATGGTTCATGCACACAATGTTGCAAGTGTTCCACTTATTTCCATGCCATGTGTGCGTCAAGGGCTGGATATCGCATGGAGGTGAGTAATCATCAAGATCGACCAAACTTGCTTGCATAACTTTTTAAATTTTCTATTTTCCACTAAAAACAGGTTTCATGTCATTTCCATTTTATTCCCCAAGTTTATGCAGCATAACTTCATTTTCAATCATGCAGTTTCATGTCTGACTGCAGAGAGTCTCAGATCACCTCTATTGCACATTTGTACATGAGATTGCATGACCTATATGGACTCTAACAGGATAAAATTTCTGGTCCTTATGTTGTAAGACTCAGAAGGATCATAATAATCTATGATGGGGTATATGTGGTTTAAAGTTTTGCCTGGAAAAAATTGCTTTTAAACATTTAGATCATAACTTAATGTGTGCCACGTTTTTTCTAACATTTATGTTGCCTAAGTTGCATTATCATTCTGTTTGTGTTAATGTTAAGACATTTGTCAGGCCACTGTTCCACAATACCAGTGTTCCTTTATAGTAAAACGTAAGTCCTAGTAGCTATAAGTTTGGATAGTGATAAATATTTTTTGAACATATCAAGAACTGGTTACCTTTATATTATAATTTGACTGATAATGAAGAGAATGCCTATGGCGCTAATACAAGCTTTTGTGTGTGTGCGTGTGTGAATAATTATATGAAAATCTATCTACCTGTTTATGTTAAAATTGACGTGTAGAATTCGTAGAGGTAGCTTGATATGAAGAAAGCACAATGATCTTTTCAGAACTGCTGGATAAATATGAACTCTGATGCCAATTCAAAACAAAACATACTGCTGGCATTATAAAAGTCTTAATAATAATGACAGTGATACGCTTAACACTTACGAGCCTTCTATGCAATCTTGATCTAGTATTTTTCTATCTTGCCTGCTTTTAGTTGATAAGTTGCATTTATTCTTACGTCACAGTACATAATTGAATTTTCTCCCCTTCGAATGCAGTTGCATTGTTTAGAGAAAAATGGTAGGCAGACGACAAAAATGGTTTCTTATTGTGCGTACCACAGGTATGGGATCCTCAAGTAGAAAAAAAGAATGCTGTCATTCTTTTTCCTTTGTTGCTTTCCTGAGTTCGTATAGGATATGCTACTGCCCACAGTTGTAGCTAGACTGTTCAAAACTGCACACCTTAGTTATGGGTTTTAATTTTGACTTTTCATGCTAATCATATTTAACTCTTTTCAGGGCTCCAAATCCAGACACTGTTTTGATTATGCAAACCCCTCTTGGAGTTATTTCTACCAAAAGCCTTCTCCAAAATAAGAAAAAGTATGGGTCAAGGTTGATTTCGTCTAATAGAATAAAGCTAGAAGACACTCCTGTAGAGAACATTGAGGATGAACCATTTTCTGCTGCAAGGTGCCGTGTCTTTCAAAGAACAAATCTCAGCAAAAAGGTAGCATGGAGAAATTTGTACATGGCAGTGATGCTTAAAAGACAATACATGATATGACAATGTTATTTAACTTTTGTGTTGTCCAATTTGTATTTCTGGTTAAGTTTTTGTGCTTAAATATGAAAATATATTAATCTATGTTATTTGATGAATGCTACAACTGAAAAAGCAACCAAGGATGCTTTATTGAATGTTCCTGCTTGCATTTGTATGGATGTAAATTATCATGGGGTGTATTGATGAATACTACGTCTAATTCTTTGTGTCTTTTCCTTTCATCTGTCTTCTTTATCTAGATCTCATTTTCCTTATTGTGTGTAATGATGCACTTCTTGCATCTTAATGAGGTTCTTGCTGGACAATTAACATATATATGTTTTTTTTTTTTTTATATATTTTTGTATTTGTTAGAGAGCAGCAGATGAAGCCATTTCCCATCGAGTGAAAGGTCACTGCCATCACCCTTTAGACACAATACAGAGATTGAATGCATACAGGGTAGAAGTGTTTTCTCTTTTTTTGCCCTTTTCAGATTGGATTGCATTTTTCCAAATGTTTTTGAGCTTGAATTTTAGGTTTAAACTGATGCATGATTCCCCCTCCCCTGTTCCCTTTTATTTTCTCATGTTTTTCCCTTGCAGGTAATGGACGAGCCTCCAACATTTTCTTCTTTTAGAGAACGTTTGTACCACTTACAGGTAAGTCTTCTCTTTTTCAGTAACATTATGCTTTGGCGATAAATTCTGTGACTGCTAAGAGGGTGCACGTGCTTTTATCCAGAGAACCGAAAATGAACGTGTTTGCTTTGGTAGATCGGGTATACACGGATGGGGCCTCTTTGCACACAGAAATATACAAGAAGGGGAAATGGTATTCTTACACTTGTATTTTACAAAGATCCTTCACATCTGCTTGGAGTTGATAATATTAACGAATTGAGGGAAAATTACACCTCTTCTCTGTGAAGTAGGAAGAGGGAAAACAAGAATAAACATAATCAGAAAGAAAAGACAACAAAGGGAATTTCCTGCCTGACTTTTTGAGAGGTCAGGTGCTGCTTATTGCTATTCTGCCCTTCACGCTATCCTGCACTAAGTCCCTTGGCTATTGGCTCTATCCGTCCCCTTTCTCACATATAGTTCCCATTTTGTGTTGGGCCCGTCAACTTCCTTTCTGTGTCTTTTGATCACTTGTCGCTGATGAATTCTCTAAACTGATACTGGGGAGGCTCTGGGTATTACTCTGCTGGCGCATTTGAAAGCCCATCAGAAATGAACTGCTGTTACATATCACAAAAAAAAAAAAAGAAACGAACTATTCAGTTATAGTCTAGAGTGCACAGTAAAAAAAACAGCAACTCTTAATCAGTTATGTCTTTAGGAAATTATTTTTAGGCTCCTGATGATGCGATCTTAATTTTAATATCATCCTACGTGTGAGGGAACAACTATCTCAAACGTTGTGATAAGGGTGGCCATCAACTTGTGTTTTACGAGATTCAAAGATAATTATTTACTCCAATAGAAGATCATAGCAGCCCTTTGTTATCAAAGTCATCCGGCACACACTGACAACAAACAGTGTGGCGTTTGAAGACATGGTTTGGTTTGCAAAACATATTCTTGAAATATGATCTTTATAGTGGTAGTAGCGTAATATTATTTTCTTGATCTTATTATGGTATAGCATTTTTTTCCCCATCAATAATAATGTGCATCATGTAATTCTGAACAGGTTCTTGAATATCGTGGGGAACAAGTGAGACGCAGCATTGCTGATCTAAGGGAGGCGCATTATAAGAGAGAAGGCAAAGATTGCTATGTGAGTTGAATTTGATTCATCAACCCATCTCCTACAAGGGCTTACCTTTTACACGCACATTTATAACTTGCATGCTTGGGATGTTGGAAATTATTAGAACTGAAGTTTCCTATTCTGGAATTTTTGGGTCACCTAATAAACAGCTCTAAACTGTCTATGGTTTCTTGTTTTTGCAGCTTTTCAAGATAAGTGAAGAAGTGGTGGTAGATGCTACTGATAAAGGAAATATTGCCCGGCTTATCAACCATTCTGTAAGTCCATCTAACTTGAATAAAATGCATACTTAGTATTACTTTGTTTAATTTTCTGGTTTAAACACTTGCTACTTCTAAGCACCATGATTTAAATACAAAGAAAATTGTGATTCCCATTGAAAAATATGGTGATTGATTGACGACACAGGAAACAAAGGAAGCGCAGTATTGTCAATATTTTGTACATCATTCATGGTCGTCTCGTTTCTTACCTCTGCTTGATTCTTGTAGTGCATGCCGAATTGCTATGCAAGAATTATGAGCGTCGGTGATGATGAGAGCCGTATCGTACTCATCGCAAAGACCAATGTTCCCGCTGGTGATGAACTAACGTACATCTCTCTCTCTCTCTCTGTGTCACACTTGTGTTGTCACCCTTTGCGTTTTCTTTAATTCTTTAATCTGGTGCGTTGGTTGTGTCTGGCAGGTATGACTACTTGTTTGATCCTGATGAGCCAGATGAAAACAAAGTGCCATGTTTATGTAAAGCTCCAAATTGCAGGAAATTCATGAACTAGTAAATATTAGAAGATACCTTGATAGAAAGAACATTTGGAGGGTCAATTTCCAAACAGTTAGCTCATGAGGTTAGTCCATATTACACCCCTATTGTTTCTCCGCAAGGATCACTAACCCTTCCATCCCCTTCATCCGCGGGACTCTTACAGTTATACCCAAGTTGTAATTCTGATCAAATCTAAAAGGAAAAGTAGGAAGGAAAAAAAAAAGTGCGTTTATTTTATTTTATTTTCCCCTTTTTTCCCTTAGACATTCATTGCAGCCTAATAAAAGCTATAGATTTAGCAGCTTTTGGCTCTTGGCGTCTCTGTAAATGTCTCACAAAAGATTACCTTATACTATAATGCTAACCCCCATCATCTTCCTGCTTCAGCAAGTTTTACCGTATTTTTTACCATGACCTTTTAGATTTATGGATAACTATATTGTTCCAGTTACATGACCCAGAAAGTGGGGGCAAAGATGTCAATTGATGACAGAGCAGTCATGAAAAATAATTAATTTTTTTAACGAAAAAATTAAATATGTTGAATATTTATGATAAATGTATCATAGACATTATAAAAAGCTAAGGAAATGAGAATGTCATTCGTTTCTTCATAATTCATACCAAACGACATGGTCTTGATTCTTCACCCAACCCACCTCTCGGATGATATTGGAAATTAGGGATGTTGGCCCTTTTGATTTATTATTCAAATGGAAGCAGTTAGCTTATTTATCAAATACGAATCAAAATTGATTCGTCCTGCAACAAAGAAAAAGAAAACAAGAGATTGTTATCTGGCTATGGGATGTTGCGTTCTTTTCAAGGGAAAAATTGACTTTGATATCCCCGCTTGAAAATTCTTCGCAGGATTTATGGGTCCTACAATTTTTTACTTAACATAACTATTTTTAATGCTACGATTTTTAATATTTCTTCTGTATCCGCTAATATGTTTGGTGGCCTTGAGCCAGTCAGTTGAGTCAACTCAAATTCACCATTGATGGAGATAAAATCTTGAACAACAGTTAAAAAAAATCTTTGAACGATGCTGTTTTGATCCTCCTATTACGTAAAGACGGAATTGAAGAAAAATCTAGCCATTTTTATGAATAAAATTCGCGTGTGGAGATCAATCGGAGGATTCTTCGGATACGAAAATCAGAGATATGCTATCACAAAAAATGAGCCCAGTGAGACATGAATTCGCGATTATGTATCAGTAATGGGACCTCTTCTACCTAGAGGAAGGAAGACAACCTTCTTGGTTTGCAAAATTGTTCCAGATGTGAAGCATTGAAAATCCAAGTCTCTAATCTCATCTATATGCGGGAGACTTTTTTTTTGTAAAAAAAAAAAAGAAGAACGGTTGACGACCATGTCAAATCGAAATAAACTTTTGAAGCCAAATCGAGATTGACGTAATTCTTGACCAGTATTGTGAATTTGTGATCCATTGGGTGGTGAAGGGAATTGAAAATTGATTTCGTCTGGTTAGTCTCTCTTTCCGGATCCCAAATTATGATTATGAAATCAAATGCGAGTGCTGTAAGAAAAAGGAAGAAGAAGAAGATGAGCATGTAAGCGAGTGCACCTGTTGATGGAGAGATGGCGAGGACGAAGCAGCGGAGGAAGAAAAGCAGAACTGGTGTTGCTTTATGTACCCTAAAGGTTCAGAAATTTTGTGTTATTGTGGATTATGAAACCCATCTTTCTTCCTCTTTTTCATTACTTTGCTGCACTTGTTCCATGCTGATGCTCCCACGGCATTCAAGTGTGCTGTGTGCACGGCTGGACCCATTCGACTTGCGGCTTCATTCACTTCTACAATAAATAAATAAATCAGAAGTTCGGTGAACTTCATTAAAAAAAAAAAAAAACAACTGTACTCTCTTTTATCTAAAAATCCAAATTCACCAATCTTGTATAGCTTGAAGGAGTCAATGAAATACGCAAGTCACATGCGTAGAAGAAGGTGTGTGTCAAGGATTTGATTAATTTTTTAAAAAGAAAATATAGAAATTGTATATTTTACGGATTTTATTATTGATATGAGTGTATATCAATTTAATATAATGTAAAATTTAATATAAATTTTTTTGGTTAAAAAAATGCAACTCCTTTTTCAAATCTTGTCCCCTATGAATAAAACATACCTAGCTTCTTGTAAAATTATAACTATTTATAAAAATTAATTTTTTTCATAATTTATTTTTTTGAATCAGCTTGAACGGTAAGATGGGAGAAGGCAAATGAAGTATCCACAACTCAAAACCTCTTCATTAAAAAAAAAAAAAAAAAACAAATATCTGGCTGTCAACCAGGGAAGTAATTATTCGCTCCCCCCCCCCCGGTCCTCTTAGCGATACGAAGTTCAAACTAGCACTGTTTTCAGAATATAATACTCATTCAATTGTTCCAGTGTGGCCTAAGGTTGCATTGTGAAATGTGAAGGACCACTATGTTAGAAGACACCCCCTTTCCTTATTTTCCTCCCCCCTAAAATCCGAAAATGGAATTATATGATGAAACTAGAATGTAAGCTAATGTTTTATACAGACTCTAAAATTAGTTACATCTCATGATAATTTGGCTTGATTTTATACTTTCTATACGGAATAAAATATACATGCTTTTATGGAATTTATAACAGTTATTCTATAACTATTGTTATTCACAAAAGCAATTATACAGGAAAAAATGCTTCATTGAATCCAAATAATCATCTACAAATACTGTTATCCACAAAAGACCTCGTAAACAAGAGGGCTGAACCATTAACCCCACGAAGGACAAGAAGCCTAGAATCCACATACGTTCCACACACCAACTTCGACAAATCAAACATTTCTGGGGGAACCTGCGTTCTTACTTCTTGAAGGACATTTCTTGCCGTACCAAGATCTTGATTCAATGGATCATCGAGAGTCATAGTCACATCAATGTCACCTGGTACAAGCTTGGCTGCAGGAAGACTTGACGGAAACTCTTTGAAAGGGATTACTTTTCTCCATTTCTTGCCAGATATTTTCTGAGCTAAGTCCATCTCGCTGCTGGAATGACCAAAGGAGAACTTATCTGTGGCCTTCTCTTGCTTCTCTTGCTTAATATATAATCGTCTCCCGGCCATTAATCCAAATGAAGATTCCACTTCCAAACTCCCGTTTTTACCAGATTTGTCATGTGGCCAGTCCTGACCAATCATGACAGTGAATCCAATGTTGGAGACAAATGAAAAGTTAGCCTTCAACTTTGATGCTCTACTGACAGTAAGATGCACATCTTTAATGAGTACACGGGCAGGAGGTTGGCGAAGGGTCAGCCCAATATGCTTCCCAGTGCAGTACAGGAGACGCCATTTGCCTGGCAGCAGCTCCAGCCAGTTCTACATACATAGATCGTAACACATAAGACGGCATACTCCGTTAAAAAATGATCGCACGTGGAATATGTGCCTCGTGTTTTATATTTATGAATGGCAAGGAATATCAATGATCTCGGCTGTATAATAAATATTTCAATACAATAGCTTGCCCTTCCAGCTGTAAGTAGCGGGGGCAAGGGAAAACTACCATGCAGAATAATTGAGATGGAATGCCTGAAATAGGCATTCAAGAATTTGAACGAGGCCGAAGTCCCATAATGCGATCTACCAAGAAAGTCAGAATGGACAATCCCTCAAGTAAAAGCAAGCAAACACGTATTTCACTTCTTAACAAAATCTTTTAACTTAATTACCTTGGGCTTTGAGTGAGGATTCAACATCTCCATTAACTCAATGAAGTGGGCAAGCCTATTTCGCTAAAAGACAAAAATAACAACGTTAGTCCAATCATCATCGCATAACTTCTGCATTTGAAAAGAGCAAATACGGATGAAACCTTTGTATGGAAAAACATGAGACACTATCAATTATAAAAAGCTCCTATATAAGGACCAATGAACTTGGAAGTAACAAAGGGCCCCTTTGGATTATGTTGCCATGATTGGATGAATACCTGAGGCTGACGATAGATGTATTCCTCAGTGATCCGCACTGCAGTAGACCCGAGACCCCATCGAATAATATCCATTGATGGGACTACTCGCCATCTTGGCCCGCAAAGGAATGGATGTCTAAGAGCATCCAAACAACTGTATCACAATTCATATTTTCAATTAAATTAGGTGTCATACCAAGGATACAAAATACATCTCTGCCCAATACTTCAATTTTAGCGACCAGTGGTCACATTAATTTCATGCATCTAAAACCCCACTTGATTTTTTTTTTTTTTTTTTAGAACCAAAGGCAAATGATATTAAAATAAGCAAGGATTACAGAGTACATACTGAAAGTAAACCAGCAGAAAAGGAATTAAAATGAAGAAAACAAGCAAACCCCATTTGATGATGGATATATGATGCCAAAACTCAAATAATATGCAGAACAAAACTAACATTCAATTCTATCACAAAAGGTGAATTTGGCTGCTAACACAGGAAACAGCCAAATTAGTCATTCAAATTTCAGCATCAATCAAGATTCTTCGATTCCTACAATGAGAGGCCAGGCATTTGGGGAAAAAAGGGTAACATTATAAACTCATAACTTGCATTTGTTTCTCCAATCAGCAGACAAATATGGTGCATTCAGGCAATGCTATTCCCACACAGGACTACCCTTTGTAGGTTGCTTCTCTTGTATTATAGCTTGTGGCTCAAGTGTCAATAAGCAACCAATTGTTTACATTGACTTTTTTTTTTTTTTTTGGTATTATGATACATGAAGCTGGAAACGCACTGTGTGTGTAGAAGAGTCTCATAAATTAGCAACAGCACTTAATTTAATTCAAAATATAAAAAATATCTACTAATTATCCAGGTTTTGAACTGCATGCTTTAGCAAATAATTAGATCTCACTTTACTATCTTCATGGACTCCACAAGTAAATCCAACTAGGTCATTACTTTGTTTTGTGTTTTGGGGTTGAGCCCATCATCCACCATTTCTGTGTTGGACTGGTTGTCCGTTTATCTAGCTGAGTTAGCAAGAAAGCAAGTACACGGTTTGAGAACTCCATAAAGGTTCAAATGGTAGTTGCGTTTTCCATTTAAGCTGGCTCATAGTTGAGTATAAAGGTTTAAATCAATCATCATTTGAAATTATGTGACTAAGTTTCAAAAATAGCTTTGGTGCATTTTCCTCAGCAACCGTATTTGAAATCCAATATCTCTTCATGGCTTTTTATCACTAACAACATTATGCCTCCCATATATTGACACAAATTTGAAATACTATTGATGACTGTTGGTCGTGAGAGCATGGTTCATTTTATAGTCCACATTTCAAACTGAACAATTTTGCCCCACATCTTACCTTATCCTTTTAGAAGGTTTAGTTGCAAGCAACAAGGATAAGAGATGCCACCCTGCACCCCAGTTCCTATCAAGTATCTGCAAGAAAGCATCATCAAGGAGTCATTAAAGGACTCAAATTAAGACTAAAACTCTAAATGTCAATTGCACTCAAGAAGCATAAATTTACTTGTTGTCCAGCATTTCCAGATGAGGAATTCCCACCAACAATTTCCAACATAAGCTCACGTAAACATGAAGGATCATACCCCTGAAGTTGCATAAGAGATCAGGAATAAAGATACAGTAAATAGTCAAGCATTAAAAAGTTCACGTCACTGCAATGAAGTGTATGATATAAATCCTAAATTAAAAAGAGTTCCCACTTTATATTTGTAATATTTGAAGTGTTTATCATGTGCCAACTAAGGAGAATGGCCAACCACTTCTTGTTTTTCTGAAAAATCTAAGTATTACACCCTCTGCTTTTTCCCCCCAATGACAATAGCTCATGCCCCATTATCAAATTATCAGTAAATCTATAAACAACTTGAATCGCATGCAAAAGAGATTATGAGATATAATAGAAGCATAACTTAAAAATTCAAGCTTCTTGGTCAAAGATTCAATTTATTAAGGAAAAGGGTGGAGGTGATATTTAAAATTAATTAAAAAAAATTTAGCTTCTCATACCTTTGTGAGGAATGCTTTGCACTTTGCGAAGATCGAAGGATCCATAAGCTCCGGCAACACCATTTTTGCCATAATGAAACCAACACATCTTTGTGACAAAAAAAAAAAAAAAAGGTATGAAGAAGACTTTCCAGATTAAGTATCATGCACATAGCTGCAGACCATGCTTTCAGTGACAATTTCCCAAACACTACCTCATGTCAAATGCAATCATCATCTGTCGCCTGTCCATGCTGTCCACTGAAGCAGTATCCGAACCATCCTCATAAAAGTCAGCGGCATTTCCCAATATACCTACCTGAAAATATAAGATAAAGGTTAGAATAATCAGTTTCAGGCAAGAAATCAATTTAATATATTATATGTTCAATAAGCAACAATTATTAATTTACAGTGGTTGGATGCAAATATCAGATCACATCATCTTCATAATATCTCAAAGCAAGTTTATGATAAAGGTTTATCAACCCCTTGGAATCGATCAATTTAGCAGCTCTATTGTATTCCTGACCCCCCCCCCCCAACTCTCATTTCACAGCATCATCAGTTTATCTAGACATTTAGCATAGAGAGGGGCATCTAGCCAATTTCAGCAAAACCTAGCTACGGAGACAAAATCCAAATTTTCCTGTTGGGGCACGAAATAAACAAGCAACAAATCACTTCTGTCTGAGGAAGTAGTAAAGGTAATCCATGTAAAAGGCACAAAGAAAAATCATAGACAAGTTCCAGTGCTTACTTTAATATGTCGGTCCACAGGGCTTATATGCAAATTTTCTAGCCTCAACTCAGTATGGGCAAGACCATGGCTGTGTAAGTAATTTACCTACAGTAAGTGATGAATGGGAGAGCTATCATTCCTCTAAATGCTTTATAGAACAGACATAGTATTTATAAACGAGGATGCCTTCCGCACAAAAGAAACAATTAAGAGAAAATGAAATTTACTCCAATTAAAAGATCCCTCATCAATATGCGAATAATCCTCAGCTTCCTAGAAATGGCAGGACCGCCAGTTGTGTCTTCCCCAACCTTCCTAACATACTCTTCATCCAGGGCAAGGGTGGCCTCTAAAGTTGGAAGCCAATCTGACTGTTGAAGCCAATGCCTCAAAGAAAAACTACCATGATACTGCACCACAAAAAAGTGAAACCAAGAAAGAGCTTGCACATGAATTCTTCTTTTGGACTTTTAAATGCATTAATTAGAAGCAGCTTGTTACACGTTTTTTTATCAAATTAGAATCTGACAAAGCATTCTAAACAAGAAATCGCATGCTCATTTGTTACATGTTTCTAATCAAATAAGACTCTGTCAAAACATTTTATTTTATTCAAATGGAATTGCATGATCATGCGTAAAAGAAGTTTTAAAATATACACATCTCCAATGATTTAAAACCTACCCCATGGACTAGGATAAATGAGCCCCGATGATCATCTGCAGGCAATGAGATATAGCCATGTACTTGCAACGAGTAAGAATGATACATAAGTTTACGGCGAACCAGCTTCTTCAATACCTAGAAGTAGAAAACACCAACAATGAATTATGATGGGACAGGGCCTATTTAGATTTTGACACTGTCAGATCTACCCACCTCTATAGCCCGTTTCCCTCGACGCTGAGCTTGCACACTGGATAGTTGCCGAAGTACAACACTCGTATTATATAAGGGGCTGGAAACGAATTTACAGACATTATGCTCATGGCTAACCCATGCGACCAGAACCTAAAAAAGAAGTTACTTACCTACCAACATCCTTCACAACGGCTTCAAAAACTACCTCATCCGCCTATAGCAAAACTCAAATCAATCAGACCACCAACATAAATATAAACCATGCATGACTCACCACAAACTTATTTTAGACCCCATACCCGCCCCCCAAGGCCAACACTGATGCGATCTAAAATCTTAAAGTCTGACATTTTGAACCGCATAACATGATCCAGTTCTTCCTCCACGGAAGCTGATAAAGCACCGGGAGCATCTTCTTGTGACTCCATAGAAGACGCAGAGGAGGCTTTCCTTAATGAAGAACAGTAAATTCGTTCATGTTGTCTTCTGCCTAGATTAGAGAATTTCCTAATAAAACGCAAGGGAACAGGTACAACAAGTCTTGTCGACAAATTTCGGGTTGAATAAGCTAAGCTGTTCGTCTCCAGTGCTGGGTTTAGCCCAGTACTCCAGAGCGCCATTGATTACAACTCTGAACATAAACGATTACATGTGCATCAGTAAATCGTCAGAAAGAGTCCAGCATGCATGAAAATTTAAATGGAAGACTCATCAAAAAGACTTTTTCTTTCCTTCGTGTTGTGGGGTTGGGTACCGCTCAAGTGTTGAACATGTTAACGAACTCATTGGTAATTAAATACTAAGTTTAGCTTTGTCAGGATGCGTCAAGAACCATACACCCTTCTTAATACCACATTTTTGGAGTGAGTAATTATGATTTTATAGACAGCAGAACCAAGTAATTGCTGTTTTCTTGACTGAACAAAATCAAACCATAAGACACAGACCCAGAGAGAGTTCGATTAATCCAACAGAAGCATTGGGAAGCTTGCTTAGATCAAGCGAAATCACAAGTCTAGAAGCAGGCATTTTCCAAAGAAAAAGAAAGACACCGTGAAAATGAACGAGGTGAAAGAGGAAGGACAAAAGAAAGAAACAAGCGGATAGAAACTTACCGGAATCGGAATCAGAATTGGAGGCCGTTGGAGAGGATCAACCAAAAAGAGAGTTAAGTTAAAAATCGCCGTTCAGTCATATATAGAAAGGAAGCGTGTGAGAATTGCGTGTGACGGAATGCTGGAAACGTTTCTCCACGGGTTCATCGCACGTCCACGTCCGTCTCTCTAAATATCTCCCCTGACCTCTCCTCCATCTACATCCTCTCTCCATCAGGTTTCCTCGCGCCGGTCCTACCGTTACCCGCCGTTTTCTCCCACGTCATTTTTTTTATTTGCGCACCTTTTTAAACCATGAACCAAAATGTAATAAATGTAAATCTAAATTTTAATTGGTCTTCAAAGAAAGCTATGGGAAAAAGGGAAGTTTGCCGTAGATGAACTCCAGAGAGTCTTGCATTTAGAAGCAACATGAAGAGATTAATGTGAGAATTGTCTCATGTGTACGATTGGGGCGGTAGCGGCACTGGTGTTGGAAGGTGACAAAATAAATTTGTGTGGTTTTAGATTAGTTGCAGGCGATTTTATTTAAGAGAGTATTTGGATATCCCTAAAAATGCTTTTTAAGAGCTTTTTTTTGGAAATTGAGACCATGTCCCATCAAGGACATGATTTGGTTTAGTTTCCATCCAAATACTTCTTAAATGTCAAAATAATTTGGACTGTGTCTCGTCAGGAGATGATAAAAAAGAGAAAATAATAAACTTGGACTGTTTTTATCAAATCAAAATTCTCGTATTTGCTTGATCCTGTAAATGAAATACAACCAAAAGCAAACAGATAAGTATCGTTTGGAATGGTTTATAAACACTTTTTTAATAATAATTTATAAATACAAGATAAGTATATGAGAGGAGTTTTATCTCAACTTGGCCAAAATATGTTTATAAGGGCTTTTATGAATGATGCCAAACAATTAGTAAGGTAATGTAAGAAAGTGCAAGACAAATACAATGAAGAGCCGATCCTCTGTAATAGGATTTTAAGCTTCCCTATACAGCGGTGGGGAGAAATTCCTTGCCTCTATTTTTTTTTTTTCCCCTTTTCAGGTCTTGCCTATTATTCATCATGAGTTGAAATGGAATACTTTCGAATAAATATATATTCATTTTTATTTTAAAAGAATTGTCATTTTAATTAAGAAATTTATATTAACAGAACAGTTGTAATGAGAGTTCAAGTAATCATAAATGTGACAAGCACTTTGAGTGTCATTACTTTTCATAAAAAATTATTTTAAATAACCATTGGCTGCTGACATTGTATTAATTTATACAACATATGATTATACTTTTTTTTAAAAAGACTATTTGATTAAAGAGGTATGCTACTAACAGCATGACTCAACCTTTTTAATAACAGAAAGTTCATACAACTATTTCCCATTTGATAATAAATAATCGCTCAGCAATACGATAAAAGTTGTCCCATCAGACCATTAAATTTTTTGTTGCTTCGCAGCATTTCGTCGACTCAAAAAGCATATAATGCTGCCTTGGAAGATTGGATGAACAGTAACGTTCTAGTTGGTGCTATCGTTTCAGCTTCAGATGGATATTGTTTCAATGAATAGCAAGTATGCAATGCCACCTTGGAAGAATGGACTGAACACTGGCGTTCTAGTTGGTGCTGACAAGTGACAACGTCTATTTCCGGGCAACATCGTACATTGTTTCTTTAATTAATGGGCTGAAAATCGGACAGGTGATAAACAGGCTACATATAACTGACAGTAAAGAAATTGTGATGTAAAAATCTTCCCTCGTGTCATTTAACCTGAATGACAACCCTTTTTCCTCCCTTCCCTCATCTCATTGGATCATCAATGACACATGCTAAAGCGCAAGTAAACCCAAAACCGCTCCTGTGCCCAAACCTTCCACCTCGTAGTCCAATATAATTAAAGTGCCATCGTTTCCCTACTTCCCCTTTTAAAGTCAAGCTAGGAGCGGCCCTCTTATATAAGTCCCTGGCGCTGTAAATCAGTATATGTCTTCTTGTTGTAGATGTTGCCTTCCTTATCTTCATATTCTTCTTCGAGATCTGGGCGCCACTTGTTCACTCCCTGCCTTTCTTGTATTCTTTTCCAGAGTTCCTTTGCCTCCTGCATCACAGATGGCCCACACGTTTCAAGTTTGGTTAAGAGGTGAATGGTTGAGATTTCAGCCGTTGAAAGAATCCCTTTGACAAGAATCATGTCAACTAAATCCATTTCTCGTTGTTGAGCAAATGATCAATCCAATTCAAAATCGACTCATCCCATCGAAATGTGATTAAGGCAATCATGGTTGAGTAATTATAACGAAGATATAATAGACGTTATGCATCTCATTTTTTGTATGCATTAAAAATGGAAACTGTTTCATGTTATGCCAAATAGACCTTTGATGGTAGGATACACGGGCAATGAAATTCAACAACAGATTATTCAGGTGTCATTTGCAAATTAGATGAGCAGAAATAAATATTTTGCTGCAAAGTGCATTCCATCTCAATTTATTCTAAACCATGAATAACCTGCCAACCTGGTGGGATATAATAACGACTATGTAACAAGAGGAGGTGTCTCCAGCAGTACAAATAAGCACTTTTATGACCATACTTGTGATTTGTAAAACATGTTACACTATTAGCAAAGAAATAGAAAGAACAAAGAAAAATGTGTACCTCAATTGACGTTATTTCATTAAAGTTCTTGGTATTTGGTATACCAAGGCAGCGCATCCCATGCTGATGGCGCCATTCTTTGAAATGCCGTTCAAAAGCTCTACGCCCCCAATAACTGTAGTTCCCACATATCTCACACTTGAATTCCTGAGATGCAAATCAAATTACACTTATTTATGGTTAGAATCCTGTGGGCTCCCTTATCCAAAAAAAAAAAAAGGAATCCTGTGGACTCCCTAAGTAGAAGAGGGCAAGCCCCTCAGCTAGTTTAAGTAAGACCAACAATTTATAATGCCCAGAATGGATAATTCCCATAACCACAAAAGTGAAAGGACGACAATCTCAGTTTCTCACTTTGAAAGGAAAATAATACCTGGCCAAGACCATGTAGCTTATAAAGCCAATAAGGTATAGGCTTCCCATCCCATCCCATTGGCAATTTTAGGGGATTATATATCTGCTGTTCCTCATCTTCACTTTCAGATTCCTCCTGTGTTTCTTCCTGTCAAGGATATGAAACACAAGTCACCAATTTAACATTATCTGCATCTGGAATTGAAGGTACAACGGAAATGCAAAGAAAAAGGTGAAGAACCCAAGATATTCTCTACTCACGATTGGAAGGAATGTATAATTTATAGAATGGAAAAAAAACTCCCCAAGTGAAAAATTTTGTGGCTGTCAAAGTGTTACACAAGACAATTTTCAGAAACCATTTTTTGTCTAAATAAGTCAACCTCACCGGCAACTTAGCAATAACTTAGTTTCGCAGGTCCAAAAAAAAAAAAAAAGGGTCTCTGCAATAAGCTGGCAGACGAATTTTCTGTTTTACACTTTCGGTTATTATAAGGAAGGACCACCTTCAATTTACATTAGGCACCACATATAAGCCCAGCACAATCTCCACTTTTAAACACAAGAAATTCAACACAAATTAATGCATCTACAAGTGAAATAATAATGTGTTCTACTTTCTATTTGGTTAGGAGAGCCAACTCGAGATGCGATTGTCACACAATGGGCCAAAACAACCAAGATCAATTTCAAACTTAAGCATGATAGTTGACTCATATGACAACCAATCATTACTGATGATACCTCACTCCCGCAATGGCCATCATCCTCAATGTTTTGAGAGTACAAGATAGGTACCCGTAATGAGTTCAAGTTATAGCATTCAGATAGAAATTATATAATATTACTGATTTCTTCCACAAAATTATGAAAAAGTGGCCCAAGAAAACATTTCATATCTATGTACTATTGAACCTTAGCTTTTAAGTTCAACTCACCTCCTCACGTTCTGCTTCAATTTCTTCATATGTCAAGGCTTGCTTCTTCACAACATTGTCTTTTGTTCGTGCAATTGTCTGTATCATGGTCAGAGAAAATTCATAAATGCAGTAAGTTATAATATATGCAGCTGATATCTGGTCAAAACACTCCCGTCAAATACCCCAACCAATAAAACTCTAGATTAAATGAAAGTAGCAGAAACTTTAAAAAGGCTGCCGACTTAATGACAAGCAACATATGCTAACCTCTTCTAACAGGTCGCATAACTTGGACAGCTTGGCCTCCAGCAGTGCAATTTCCTTTGAATTTTCATCTTCTTGTGGAACTGCGGCAGTGCCATTTTTTTCTGAACCTCGTGGTCCCTTGGCAAAATGCTTCCGGTCCAACTTTTCAAGAGGTGTATGCTGCATGAGAAAGCCAATAAAATTTTTCCTGAGTCAAAGCTTAAGGACAAGTAATGCAATCTCAATCAAAACAAAAAATGCTTAATTATGGAAGTCATGATGAGGACGTCAACAAGAGTTAGTAAGAAGAAATAGACAAAATTAACATCAAAATATTGCACTTGACTCTTCTAAACAGAGCTCTCACTTTTGGACTAACAGCATTGGATAAAAGACAGTCAATTTGAAAGAAGAGAGGACAAAGCAACTTAAGTATATTTGGTTCATGGTAATGCAGCGTGTGGAATAGGAATGGAAGACGCATTCCACTGCAGGGGATGTCTGGTTGGTAGAAACAGATTTTGATTCGATCAATCTTTTGATTTTGGAATCCTCATTAAATTGACTAAAGTAGCCTTCAATACTGAAAGTTTTATCTTTATATTATAATCACCATCCATAAATTAAAATAATTTTATTATCAACAATATCATTTAATAAAAACTATTTCTAGAAGTATAAAATAAAAATCATATTTCATTTAAGAATAGAGACGAGTAGAAAAAATCATATTTTCTTATATTTGTAACGATAACTTAATAATCATTTATAATTATAAGATTACTTATTATTGATGAACAAGAAATATTTAATATTTTAAAAATATGAATCAAATAATTTAAAAATTGAATATATATCTATTAAACAAATCTAGTTAATAATAAATGTTTCAGTATGTTTTTGTGTTACGAGTATTACTGTCCAACCAAACACAAGTTTTCATTCCTTTCTTTAACATGCCAAACATGCTCATCCCATTCCTTGAAACATCATCCTCATTACCATTTCCATTCTTATTCCCATTTTCATTCCTAAAAAAATATACTCTGCAGAGACGGATGAGTCACCTTTGTAAGGAACAGCCTCTCTGCCCGTTGCTGAACAGTACCCCCAGTCTTAAGTCCCAATGCAGCCAATGCCTGGAATACCAAAGAAGAGGGAGATCAATAAACCAAACTTGTTTTATAAATCATTAACTTGAATTGAACAGTACCTAATATTTGCCATTCATAAAGACAGAAGATAGTAAAGATATAGTAACAAATACAATGATCGTAATTGAATCTCTGATCTGAGGAGTAATCGCCAAAAGTTTTGAATCAAAATGGCACAACAGTGAAAAGGTACTGCTGTTTAAACTTCTTATAATTCCCAAAGCAACTAAAAATGACAACCTCAACAGACAAATTAATTTAGAGTAAAAACCACAGCACGATGTCAAGGAATAAAAGTTGGATCAATGACATTGTACATATCAAGTACAAGCGGCTGTTCAGTATTCAAACGAGAAATGGGGCAAACGATGTGGAAAAGCTTATTTTGGATGCATTCTTGCTTCGTTCTAAATGGGACAGATGGGTATTTTAAATATATGTGATAAGTGAATTATCATGTTACCAATTTTAAACTCACCTCTTTCAACTTTTCAGGACCCAATTCTGTCAGCTCTTCAACTGTACTGTAGTAATCAAGATCAATTGCAGTGTGTTGAGCAGGTACGTGTCCATTCTCTTGAATGTCATTCTCCCATCCAGGTAACTTGTTTGCAGCCCAATTTTCTTCAAACTCAGCTGTTACCTGCAATTCAATCAGACGCTCACTACCGAAAAGAGAGAGAGACGAAATAATGCACAAGGAGTCCTTGGTGTCCTAGAGTATGAGAATGGAGAATTATCTTTGAGGATTCAGGAACTCCATGATATAGCATTAATTCAACAAAACTCTCGCCCACAAGTGAAGGATCAGACTTGAAACTTGAAGCAGGAATTACATGATAATTTTTGGTCAAACTGGCCATTCAATTCATGCATTTGTGCATATGAAATTATTAAAAAAAAAAAATCGCATAATCTGATTCAAAAGTTTATTCAAACAATCAAGTTAACAATAATTAATAATGGGGAATGAAGCATTTTAGAGTTAGAGGGGTTTTGTTAAAGAGAATCTTGGCAGTTTCTTTATAACTATATAGTTTACCAACATTTTGCAAGAGTATAAAACTATAGTAATTGAAGGATTTTTTTAATTTTATTTTTTTCTCCTTTGAATAAATGGTTACAGAAGAACAACACATATTTATAGGACACATCTACAGCCAAAGTATAATGATGGCTAACACTACAATTAAAGTTGCGGCAAAGAAATACTATGAAAAATAATTCCAAGCAGAAAGCCACCCTAGTGCACCTAGAGCATAAATCAAGCTCAAGATAGCGAAGCAAAAGAAAGATAATTGAAAATAATCACCTTAGAGAAAATTCGATCCAGATCTTGCAAGGGTTCTGTCCGCTGGAAGAAATATATGAGATACTCCAAAAGATTCTCCATATATTCCCTGTACTGCCTGTAGAAAATAGGATGGCAGAAACTAAGAAATCTCAGAAAGTTACTTACCAACATCGGAGGAACACTAAATACCAAATAAACAAAAACATGCAACAGAAAGGATGAGGATAAGGGAATATACCTAGTCATTTTCATTTTGCGTGGGATCTTCTCTGTTTGTGAAAAAACATCAAGGTAAGCAGAGTACTCAATTGGCTCACCAAATTTGGAATTAACATACTGATAGTACAATTCATGCAAGTCTAAGTACCGCCCAACAGCTTCCTGAAACCAATATCTCAAGGAAATCAATAACCATAAAAGGCAGAAGAGAAAACATTCTCAGTTTGAAAAATGAAGCATCATGTATCCTAACAGTACAACATATTAGATTTCATCTTACATGACTCACTAAAACCACCGTCCAAGGACAAATTGCATCATACAAGAATCTCATCTCTGGATCTCCTGATGGAACAGGAGGACAATTAAATGCTCAAACACACCGCCAATTCAAGGTCAATGGGACATTAAGGTCCATGTGGATATATTCTTAAACTCTTCTTATTGCATAATTTATGTAAAGAAATGGTTCACAATAACTGCCTAGCTTTTGTAAAATTATATCCAAAATAATATTTAGAGAAACTTGTGAAATTAAATTGCTCCAAGAGTCAATTATCTTGATTCTTTGAATAGGGACATATTTTAAAATCTCAACAGGAATGGCCCCAAAACCCAAACTATTCATGCCAAGGTTGCACAGAGAGGATAGGGAAGCCTTGAACTTAAAATTTGACAGGATGTATTCTACAAGCTAACATAAGTCACAACGAATTCTTTATATCCTTCAGAGCATTGCCTGTTGCAATATTATTCTTTTGCTACAAAAGACTGCACGTTTCTTTATCACCCATCAAGTAATGTAATTATGCAACATGGTAATCGGGTACGGGTGGGTAGGTTTGTATGCGTGCGTGTGTGTAGGTGAGAGAGACAGACAGACAGACCTCTCCACTAAACTCAATTTGAGGCTCCTCTTTGAGAAGTTCTTCATAGTCATCATTAGCATCAACAACACGTGCAGCCGGGTGCTTTCTATGATACTCTCGTATCTGCACATATCACAAGATACCAATGTATTAAACGCATAAAAGCAATTAGGATCAAATAACTCAGAGAACTCAGTTTCAACATATGCATAAAGATGCTATCATTTTTACTAGTTCAAATTTCAATGACGTCTTCCACATACACTGATACACAGCAATATGCACATGTAAACATAAAGCTCTTAGATAGTTGGCGCTAGAATAAACCCACATGAGAATAAGATGTAAAGACAAGATAAAAACGATGGATGCAGACAGAATACAACTCCCGATTCCAAAAAGGCATCTCTCCTATTTCTATTATAAAGCTTCTACATATGTAACATTACCTCTTTCAGTCTATCATAAAACGCACTAAACACATTTGTTCCAGTTGCAGTTTGACCCCCCAGTGCAGCAATTTCATCTTTCCTTGCATTGTCTTTATCTTCGTATATATCAATCTGAAACCGACAAACGGAAAATCAGCTAACTTCTCTGTTTTAATTCGCAAGACAAGATAGATGAAAAGTAAATTAAAATAAAGAGGAAAGAGGAACGATAGATTACAACAGTCTTCACAGGGTAGTCCAGAGGAATTAAAAAAAAAAATGGAAAGGAAAAATAGATTCTATTTTGGATCTTACTTCACCAAAACTTATTTACTTGAAACAGAATTGGTCAAAAAACACAACACTCTACGCTGACAGCAGAACATTAAGTGATTGGAATACCATCCCCTCTCCCCGAATGTGATTTTTTGGTCAGTTCCTAACAACTCAACTAAGGAGCTACTTCGGTTTTTTAACATCAAGCTAAGATTGCTTTCACTTCAGAAACAAGAAGTGGAAGAGTTCCAATTAATAATTTATCATCTCGGCGCTTATTTTGCATTAACCTAAAAAGAAGTTTCGTCGAGGAGCAAACACAACCTAATAACTGAAATTCGAAGTTGAGAGAACCGACTTACGAGCTTTTCAGTGGTAGAAGTGATAGTATCGATCATATTTCGCACGCGGTGACTCTGAAACAAGCGGTCCTTGTTCGACGCGGGCTCATTTTGAAGGTCCTTCACTATCAGACGCTCAAGCCGCTCCACCTCCTCGTGTGCCGCACGAGTCACCTCCAGCAGAGTCGATGACATTGTCGCTGGATCAACTCAAGCTTCGAATTCAATCACCACTACTCCTGCAGAGCTTGGAATTGCTGACTTGCGGTTTTAGGTTTCTCTTCCCTGAGATTTTTCCCAGCGAGCTTCAAGATATTCCCTCCTTTTTGAGGGAAAAATAAAGCCTTATTTTGCAACCCAAAAAAGAAAAAAAAACCTTATTTATGCATATTCATTATTCAGATCCCGCCTGAGGCTGAAAGCAGCAGAGCCAGTACGACGTCGTTTTGTGTTTCCGAGCCCTGGTAAATTGGTTGGAATCCTTGTTTCATGCTACTAACCGCTTTGGCTTCTGTGTCTCTGTAGTAATAATTTAACATTTTAAAATAATTAAAACTGAATAGTATTATATGCATTAAGCAGTCTCTAAAAAAATGAGTTCTAAATTAAAGGTTCTTCTTCTAATAACAGTTATATGCTTCTTCTTTTTTCATTAGTGGACAGATTCGGAGAAATACACCTCCGTGTGTCTTGATATTTTTCCTTTTCTTTCTTTTTTTCCCCTGAGCTTCCTGAGCGTTTTTTTCTTGGGTCGTATGTCCGCGTAGAACTCCTATTCTCAAAGCATTATAGCAAATACGGGCTTCAATCCAGGAAGGGCCTTAATCGGGCTCCCAACCAGGAAAAAGATCTGCATACCTTTGAACTTCGTAAAGGGATGAGATATTTCCATTCTCGTATGATGTTCAAGGCTGTGTCCAACATAAAACAAATTAGTTATTATCTTTCATCACACAAAGATACATCCATGTGTATGATGCACGACCCTTTTGTTTTTGACCAAAGAGCAAAGAAGGTAATGACGCAAAAAAAAAAAAAAACTAAATCTCAAATAAATAATTCTTACAAAAATGTGTTGTTATTTGCAGGTATAGTGCCATCAAAACTTATTAAAGTGTTGGAACCTATTCTGATTTAGAATTTAGTAATTTCAAACTTTTTTTATGAAATTCTTCCAAAAAAAATGTTAATGGTTCCTCAGTATACAATTGTATCTTCAATTTACGAATTAAATAAAAGGATTTCCATTTTGTTGTTGCATCTTTTCCATTTTGTCGCGTTGTGTTTAGATACAGTTTACCCAGTTTAGCGAAAATTCATTTTCATATAAATTATTCATGTAAAATTTATAAAAGAAAGCCATATGAGTTTAACCCGGATGATAAGGACGAGACGAGGTATGTATGAGTACGATAGGTTAGTATCCAGACTTTGCTCTGCTAAATACACGCAGAATGAATTTGAAAGAGTAATCCTCACTCCCGCCCAAATCGAAGCTTTCGTGATGATGTGTGTGCTAATACCTCAAAATAACATCTGCATGATTTCTTGCTCAAGGTTCAAGCTTGAATTCGACGATTTTTTTTTTTTTGGACTCAAGAATTCGACGATTTTTGATTGCATGCATTAAAATGAATTTGCATGAGAGGATAATTTCAATCCAGGATATTTTAAAAAAATCAACACATAATTTTTATAAATAATTAATTCAATTACCTTTCTTTATTTATCCAATTTAATCAAATAGATATTATATTAAACACAAAAAATAGTATAAACTGAACAATTTGAATTTTTATTCATACACATTCCCGTTTATAGCAATATTTTACAGGAAGGAAGTCCCATCTTCCGAATTAAGATTTGAGAAATATGAAAAAAATGATTGTTGAATTTTAAATTTCTAAATTAGTATTGATTACTACACCCATAAAGAAATAACTATATTTAAAAAGTAAATAACAATACATTTTTATAATAATTTTTTATTTAAAATTTTAAAAGTCAGCCGTCATTTTTTTTAGATTTTTTCTTAAAAAATTTTTCCCCCAAAAACATTCTGTGCACTGGCCAGTTATTAGTACATGGTATACAGTGCTATGCATGCCAAAACAACTGGACAAATAGAGTAAATGTCAGTGGAGTAATAAAACGTTAACAAACGAGTCCTATAACTATAGCCGGGAAAACGGGCTGAGCCCGTCGGGCCGGCCCGTTTATGCCCTGAAATTATAAGGGCCGGGTTTGATATTTTTCCCTTCAAATAGGAAATAAGTCCTGGAGGGTCGAGAGCTTAAAAGGGTCGACCATGGAGGGCCGCGGGCCTGTCCTTTTAAACTATTTTATAATTTTTTTGTTTTTTAAATTTTTTTATATAATTCTAATATTATTAATTTTTTATATTGTTAATAATATTTCAAATATTTAGTTATTATTATCATTTTAAAATTAAATTTAGTGTTAGATAATAATTTATCCAATTAAATTTTTAAAAAATGTGTTAATTTGGACTTTAATAATGATTTGATTTATATTATATGCGTTGATATTTTTAAACTATATATATATTGGATAATAAAGTATTTTTATACTTATATAACTTGTGATTCTATAATTTGAATTAGAAATTCATGAGTTTCAACAACAACGTTTCTCACATTAAAGTAAAATAATAGCTAGATTGTACAATTTAAAAGTAAAATTCCTATAAAGAAGAAAAACTTAATATTTTTGTTACAAAAGAAAAGCATACTTATGAAGAAGAGTAATTAATTATAGTGATGATGAAGTTTCAAAAGATTAATGATAGTGTTTATTTATTGCACAATTACACTATAGATAAAACTTTTGGATGTTGTTATCTTGTTGTTAATGAATGTTTTAGATATTCTTGGATGTTGATGAATATTTATATATGATGATATTTTATATTTGTGACTTAATTTTATTCATATTTATGTTTTTTTTTAATAATTTCATTGGTTTATTTTTTTTATAAAAGTTATGATAAATATAAAAAATAGTATTTTTTTCTCAAACGGGCTAAAAGCCCGCGGGCCGGCCCTGAACCCTGTGGCTTAAGGACCGGGCCTAACAAATTAGGGTATTTTTGAAATTTCAGCCCTGGAAGGTCGACCATTTTAAGCCCATCAGCCCTGAAAGGCCAGCCCTGATTCTCAGCTCTACCTATAACCTTATTTCTTTCCAACTAATTTGAAAGCTGATCGGGGAGGGAGTCTTAAGCAAGCTCCACAATTGACTGTTCAAACTGAGCTACATATTGCTCAAACTTCTGCCAATGGTTCTTGCTTTCTTGCAGGCCACGACACGGGCAAAAAAAAAACAGCAGGCGAAGGCAAGAGAGGGAGCTCAGCCAACAAAAACTGAATAATCATATTCATGTCAATGTTAATGCAGTATTATGTATAAAAAAAACTGCAAATTAGCTACACTATTGTAGATATCTATATACAATAGTTCTAATTATAAGACCTCATTTGTAGATTGATTAAAAATAATCAATCTACAAATGAGATCTTATAATTAGAATCGGAAATAATAATTTTTTGAAATTGACTTTACAGAGTATGAGGTAAAAATAGAATTGTGTGAAGATATATTTTAAAAATATTTTTGTTGAGTTTCCCAAACTCCCTGCATGTGTATATCTGAGAAATTCGGGCTCCCCTTTCTTGCAGTAACTATCAGGACCCACACTAAGAGCTTATATAGGAAAATAAAGCTTGGTACGTAATCCGGTTAATTGCTACGAGGAGTAGTCTTCATTCTTCAAAGACATCGACCCAATGAAAAGGTCAACATAAACCGTTTGCGAGCCCACGTCTCGTGTCGTGTACGCCGAAGCTTCTCTAACACACGCACCGACACGCAGCCATGACCACCTATGGTGGTGCCTCACATGGTGATGAAAATGAGCCAGACACGACGATGGAAATGGATAATAGGTAAATATCACGGAGAGCTGTACGTCCATTGATATTGGTGGTATTAAGAATCTTAACATGTCCTACTAATTAAAAACCAATTAGGTTTGATTTCAAATGCAAAATTTTAATTTTCTCTGTATTCGTTTATTGTTTTTCTCAAAATATCAATGCTGATGGTAAGGGTTTCTACCAATGAACAATTTTAATGTATATAATTAAAAATGATAGTTTACAAGAGTCACGCATTTATTATACTGCCTCCGGTTCTAATTATAAGAGCTAATTGACTAATTTGAGAAGATTAGGGAAAGAAGTTAAGTTAGTTATTTGTAATAAATAAGTGTTATCTTTCTTAAGATATATTTGCTAATCAAGTTTATTGGCTAGAACCACAATTGTTAAAAGCACTGCTTTGAAAAAAAATACATAAATATGAGAGACAAGTAGATTGGGGTCTTATATTTATGATCAAAATAAAAGTCACACAAGATTTTATATTAAGAATAAGAGGTAGTAAATAATTAATCTTAACTATTTTTATTGATATCTCCTAATTAGTGATCCAGTATACTGCTATGGAGAAAGGAAAAAGCATGCAGCTGCTTCAATGTGCCGCATTTCATAGTTTCTGTGGGTTATTTTTAACGCACACGGACTCGCCAGCCCATGGCTTGCGTGGCCCTAATTAATCCGCCAGCGCCTTCTCCACCTTCCTATTGGTTAATTAATTAATTAATTAATTTTTGTTGTTGAGTTTGACACATATTACTGCAATATGACCGAGAAATGTGTAATTATATATTCATAAGCCTTTGTACCACTAATTAATGTTCTTCAATAATGCTAGAATAATCTGAGTTGGACCAAATGGATCAGCCCTTTTCGGGTTTCTTCTCCTTTGCTTTTCTCTCTGTGTTAATCTCCACTGAAGTATTTCAATTATTATTCAAGTTCAGTCACGTGTGGTTACTGTGCATGCTCAGGAAGGGAATGGACGAGAATCTGTGTGCCGACTTAGTTTTAACTTTTAAGGAGAGGCTTTGGGGACAACGCTGGGCAGAGAATCTCATACCCAGCCAGGATCTCTTAGTTCTTAAAGTCTTTATTGGAATAATAATACTCTTTTAATTTTAAATATAAAATCTTTATATTAATATATAAAGATATTATATTTAAGACTGGAAGAGTATTTTTATTTCTTAATATAAAAGTTACTTGATTAATTTAAATATGTTAAAAAATTAGTTACATTAGTTATTTATAATAAATATATGTTATTTTTTAAAAATATTTTATTAT